CACTGATGGGCTTCCTCAAAATGCCCTAGGTCTTCGTGAGCAAGCAAGTTGGATGCACATCCACTTAGTTTCTTTTGTTGAGCTTTCGTATATTTATAACTCTAGTGCATCCGTTGCATGGCAATCCCTACTCCTTGCATTGACATCAATTGATGGGCATCTTCATAGCCCATTTATTAGCCGCGTCGATGTGAGACTTTCTCCTTTTTTGTCTTCTCCACACAACCTCCATCATCATATTCTATCCCACTCATAGTGCTATGTCCATGGCTCGCGCTCATATATTGCGTGAAAGTTGAAAAAGTTTGAAAAGACTAAGTATGAAACAATTGATTGGCTTGTCATCGGGGTTGTGCATGATGGGAGAATTTTGTGTGACGAAAATGAAGCAAGGCCGAACTATATGATTTTGTAGGGATGATCTTTCTTTGGCTATGTTATTTTGAGAAGACATAATTGCTTGGTTAGTATGCTTGAAGTATTATTGTTTTCATGTCAATATTAAGCTTTTGTCATGAATCTTTTGGATCTGAACATTCATGCCACAATAAAGAAAATTACATTGAAAATTATATTAGGTAGCATTCCACATCAAAAATTCTGTTTTTATCATTTACCTACTCGAGGAAGAGCAGCAATTAAGCTTGGGGATGTTTGATACGTTTCCAACCTATCTATAATTTTTAATTGTTCCATGCTATTATATTATCAATCTTGGATGTTTTATATGCATTTATATGCTATTTTATATGATTTTTGGGACAAACATATTAACCTAGAGCCCAGTGCTAGTTTCTGTTTTTTTCCTTGTTTTTGAGTTTTACAGAAAAGAAATATCAGATGGAGTCCAATTGACGTGCCAATTTTTGATGATTTTTGATGGACCAAAAGAAGCCCCGGAGTAAAAGAGTTGGGCAAGACGAGTCCCGGGCCGCCCACGAGGGTGGTGGGCGTGCCCTACCCCATGGGCGTGCCTCCCTATCTCGTGGACGACTCGGGGACCCTCCTGACTTGTTCCCAATGCCAAAATTCCTATAAATACTGAAACCTCCAGAAAATAACCTAGATCGGGAGTTCCACCGCTGCAAGCCTCCGTAGCCACCGAAAACCAATTTAGACCCATTTCGGCACCCTGCCGGAGGGGGGAATCCCTCTCCGGTGGCCATCTTCATCATCCCGGCGCTCTCCATGACGAGGAGGGAGTAGTTCACCCTCGGGGCTGAGGGTATGTACCAGTAGCTATGTGTTTGATCTCTTTCTCTCTCTCGTGTTCTTTATTCGGCACGATCTTGATGTATGGCGAGCTTTGCTATTATAGATGGATCGTATGATGTTTCTCCCCCTCTACTCTTTTTTGTAATGGATTGAGTTTTCCCTTTGAAGTTATCTTATCGGATTAAGTCTTTAAGGTTTTGAGAACACTTGATGTATGTCTTGCATGTGCTTATCTGTGGTGACAATGGGATATTCACGTGATCAACTTGATGTATGTTTTGGTGATCAACTTGCCAGTTCAGTGACCTTGTGAACTTATGCATAGGGGTTGGCACACGTTTTCGTCTTGACTCTCCGGTAGAAACTTTGGGGCACTATTTGAAGTTCTTTGTGTTGGTTGAATAGATGAATTTGAGATTGTGTGATGCATATCGTATAATCATACCCATGGATACTTGACGTGACATTGGAGTATCTAGGTGACATTAGGGTTTTGGTTGATTTGCGTCTTAAGGTTTTATTCTAGTACAAACTCTAGGATAGATCGCACGGAAAGAATAGCTTCGTGTTATTTTACTACGAACTCTTGAATAGATCGACCAGGAAGGATAACTTTGAGGAGGTTTCGTATCCTACAATAATCTCTTCGTTTGTTCTCCGCTATTAGTGACTTTGGAGTGACTCTTTGTTGCATGTTGAGGGATTTTTATATGATCCAATTATGTTATTTATTGTTGAGAGAACTTGCATCAGTGAAAGTATGAACCCTAGGCCTTGTTTCAACGCATTGCAATACCGTTTTCGCTCACTTTTACCACTTGCTACCTTGCTGTTTTTATATTTTCAGATTATAAAAACCTATATCTACTATCCATATTGCACTTGTATCACCATCTCTTCGCCGAACTAGTGCACCTATACAATTTACCATTGTATTGGGTGTGTTGGGAACACAAGAGACTCTTTGTTATTTGCTTGCAGGGTTGTTTGAGAGAGGTCATCTTCATCCTACGCCTTCCACGGATTGATAAATCTTAGGTCACCCACTTGAGGGAAATTTGATACTGTCCTACAAACCTCTGCACTTGGGGGCCCAACAACATCTACAAGAAGAAGGTTGTGTAGTAGACATGAGTGTGGAGGCTCAGATTGACGGTCCGACAGGGCAAAATGCATGGTCTGCCAGACTGGTATTTTTTTGTGATCGGTCATGTAAAAACTAAGCATACTGGTCTCTTTTTGGATGTGATCAGCCGATGGTGTGATTTGGTGATGGTGTGATCTGACACGCTCTATGGTTCAGACGTATTTGAATTTTAAATTACACTTCATTCACGAATATATAGTGCCTAATATTGAATGGTCGGCTTTCGCATTCGTGTTCCCAAACTAATTCCTCTGCCCACGGACGGATAAGGCGTCAGGTTTGTGGGTCCAATGATGCTCTAATACATTTTCGAAGGATGAAATTGATTAGGTGGGATCACATTTAGATACCCAGCATCCTTCGATCGTGTGATCTGGCCTCTACAAATAAAAACCAAAAGGTAAAGAAGTCGTTGGGGCGAGGTTGTCGTTCGATGTGTGGAGACGTTGCCGACTCCCGTTAAGAGCATCTCCAACAGCCGCGCCAAACTAGCGCCGCACCGCAAAATTGCCCATTTTAGCGCGCGCGCAACCGGTATAGTGGCTCCAGCGGGCGCGCAAAAACCGCGCGCGCGACATATCTAGTTCAGCGCGCGGGTCGAAACTGCATCGCGCGCCGCTTATTTGTTGTGCCCGCTCCCGCGCGCTCGCTCGCAACTCACCCCCCCCCCTCTCCAGCTGCGGTGCCGCTGCCGCCTGCGCCATCCGGCGATCGTTTCGGAGCTTCCCCGGCCTATCCCCGCACCGCGGCGGCTTCCTCCACCCCCTCTAGTCACCGCCGCCCCTCGCACGTGTCTGTCCTCCGACGAACAGCGCTCGGCCGCTCGCTGCCGCTCGGCGCCGCAAGGTGTTCGACAAAACGCCTGCAAGGTATGTATTGCTCAAACTTCATGAATTTGGTGCATGTTTATTGTAGTTTTTATAGCATAGTATTGAACATTGTAGATGAGTTCGTCGTATGATTCTTCCGAAGAAGAATTTGATATGGAAGAGGAGGAGGATCTTGCAATGATCCTAGCTATGCACATCAATAAAAAACCGAAGCACGGTGGTTCGGTTATGGGTCGGCAGAAAATTTGGAGGGATATGATTGATGCCCATAACAGATTGATGAGGCACTATTTCATGGAGAATCCCACATACCCGGAGTCGTACTTTTGTCGCCGGTTTAGGATGAGCACCGAGTTGTTCAGGCGCATTGCAGAGAAACTAGCGAGCCATGACCGGTTTTTTCAGCAAAGGAGGAATGCCGCCGGAGAGCTCGGGCATAGCACCTTTCAGAAGGTGACAGCCGCTTTGCGTATGTTGGCATACGGTATCCCAGCTGATTTAGTTGATGATCACTTGGCTATGGGTGAGAGCCAAGCCATCATGTGTGTCAAGCGCTTCGCAGTCGGAATTGTGCAAGTGTTTGTCCAGGAGTATTTGAGATCTCCCAATGCTGAAGATGCCGCAAGGCTATTGGAGATGAACAAAGCTCGCGGCTTTCCTGGTATGCTTGGCTCAATAGATTGCATGCATTTGAGTTGGAAGAATTGTCCAAATGCATGGCATGGGCAATTCCACGGCCAAAAAAGGGTTCCACTATAATCCTTGAAGTGGTGGACGATCAAGAGACTTGGATTTGGCATGCATTCTTTGGAATGCCTGGATCTTTGAATGACATCAATGCTGTCAACCGGTCACCACTGATGAATAAGATTGCAAATGGTGATTTTCCACCGGTGCAGTTTGTAGCAAATGGCCGTACATACAAGTATGGCTATTATCTAGCGGATTGCATCTATCCAAAGTGGCAAACCTTTATGAAGCCATTGAAAAAGCCGGAAGGGAAGAAAAATCTTAGATTTCCACAATGCTCAGGCGGCGGCTAGAAAAGATGTGGAGAGAGCTTTTGGGATTTTGCAAGCCCAATTTTCTATTGTGAAAGGACCGGCTAGATTTTGGGATCAAAAAATGCTTTGGTACATCATGCACGCTTGTGTGATCATGCATAATATGATCATCGAGAATGAGTGTGGCCAAGATGTAGACTACTCTCAGTATGAGCTCTTGGGACATCTCGTGCGAGTGCGACGGAGGGCTGAAAGGGTGGCCCGTTTTGTTGCCTCCTATCATGCCATTCGACGTCCCGCAACACATGATGATCTTCAGAAGGATCTCATTGAGGAGTGGTGGGCATGGAATGGACGACAAAGAGCATCATGATTTGTGCGTTCGATATTGTATTATTGAACTATTTGTTGTATTGTTGAACTATTTCTTGTATTGAACGATAAACTATTTGTTTGAGTTGTAATAACAAAATTGAACTATTTTTTTATTTATTTTGTTTGTATTTGATCTTTTTGCTTCTGTTTTGGAATGCATATGTTATTTGTGCGAGAGTCACGCGCGCTGCATTTTTGCGCGCTGCTGGAGCTGCGCGTGCTGCATTTTAGCGTGGCTGCTGGAGCCAGCGCTGCCCGCCGTGCCAAAACAGATGATGAACGCGCAGCAAAGTAGTTTTTAGCGCACGGCGCGTTCGGTGGCTGTTGGAGATGCTCTAATACTACTAGTAGAGAGATTGGCGTCTTTTTCCTCGCGAGAGTCCTAAATAATCGTATGCCCTAACAAGCACTCGGATTGATACGGTCGCGATGGAAACAACTGGCGGCGCATGGAACTGGTCCGAGCTACTGAAGGATGTCTTTCTCACCACCATGTCGGCCATGGAGGTCCTCGACGTCGTCCGGGCGAGCGTGGTCTGCTCCACATGGAGCTCCACCTACGCCACATTTCGCCGACTCCGCCTTCCATCGCCGAAGCAATCTCCCTGCCTGTTGTATCCCCACGATGCCACCTGCGGGCCAGATGGCATGGCGCTCTACTCCCCATCAGCTGACGCGACATCCCACATGCGGCTTCCACATGATGCCGCCGTCCTTGCCGGCTCGGCGTACGGATGGCTCTTCGTCACCGACCAGGCGGCCAATCCCTACTTGCTCAACCCTCTCAGCGGCGTGCGGGCCGTGCTCCCGCCCGTCACCAATTTCCAATGCGTGGTGGGAAACTCCTTGGACGATGATGGGAGCATTGTCTACCGCACCGAAGACCCCAGCCTAGCATCTTACGGAGACGACGTGCGGTTCTTCTCCGTTGTCGCACGAGTCGCACGCTCCTGGATGTATCGCCACGTGGCCCTCTCCGCCGGTGGCGCCACATCATCGTGTGTCGTCCTAGTCGTGCACGAGCAGCCGATGGACCTCCACTTCGCCAGGCCAGGAGACGAGCGCTGGTCCTCGCTATCCTCCGTCAGCACCGGCTTTGTCAGCGCCGTCTACAACGACAAGGACGGTCTGTTCTACGCACTCCAGTGCTGCGGCACCGTCCATGCTCTAGACCTCCACAGCCAGACGACGTCCCCGGCGGCAAGGATTCTCATCCGCACACGGGGGCTCGTTGCTCATCGCCGCTCCCTCGCCGTCACGCCGTGCGGCGACGTCTTGCTGCTGGCGAGGACGTACTGCCTGTTAGAGAAACTTCAATGGGCCGACTCAAACGAACGGCGCGTTTGTCCGCTTTTTGTCCGTTTGGGTCGGCCGTTTGTCCGACGTCCCCCAATTTTGCATTTGGGTCGGCAATGCGCCCAACGCACCGACCCATTTCATGTCTGCATTCAACTTTTAAATAAAAAAAGGCCCGCGGCCGATCATGTCAACGGCCATGTCTCATGCCGGCACCATGCCAGCGACGGCATACAATGCCGGCTTCAGAAAATATCACCATAGCTCATGCTGGCGCACTCGCCAGCCGGTCAACACACATGCCAACACACAAAAAGGGTGGGACTTGAGTTCGACCACGCCATCGCGGCTCTCGTGATCATGCCGGCATACAAAAAAGATGGTCCTCGCCGCCATAGATCACTCGTCATCGAACTTGAGCATGTTGGACTGCATATTCTCAAACCACGACCTCTTCCTTGATGACACGGTGTTGAGATCCACCTTCATGATCTCGACCCCGGTCATCATGCTCGCAAGAGCCACTTCTTTCGCCTTGGTCTTGGCGTTGGCGGCCTCGATCTCTAGCATCTTGGCTTGCTTCTCCGCCTCGAGCTCGAACATCTTGGCTTACTTCTCAGCGTCCAGATCAAGCCTCCTCCTTTGGATCTCCGTGAAAGCATCCATTTGCTCCGCCTTGAAACGCTGGCGCTCCTCCTCCCTTGAGTCCTTCTTATTCATCATGCCGTCCACGCTTGCAATCAAGGTGTTGGTGGCCGCATCTTGCTTGTCCTCCTTCTTGGAGTTGGTCTTCCCCCGCGGCCGTGCTGGCTCGCCCTCCCCAACATCCCCCACAGCTTTCTTCCCCCCACGTGCCTTGAGTGTGGCATATTGCGCCTTGAACTTCTCCTCGTCCTTGATGACCGATAACAATTGGAGAGGTTGAAGCACTTGCCATTGTGTTGAACCTTGAATGCCTCCAAAGCTTGAAATGCCTACAAAATGTTTCCATGCAAACATATGGGCAAGTGATATGCAAATGAACACGCAAAGGATGATCTTGATGACAGAAAAGAGGGCTGCTTGCTTGCTATCATACCATGTCTTGCATGCCGATGCCACTCACGCGGCGGACCTTGACGCTCTCAAGGGTGGCGTAAAACTTGTTGCACTCTTGTTGGATCATCCTTCACCGCTTGGAAATGGAGACCCACCCGCGCGTGCTCACAAATTGGTAAGGTGGAAACTTCTTGCGCTCATGAAACTCTCGGTGGACACGAGTCCAAAAGGTTAAATGCTTTTGCTCGGCTCCCGTCTTGGGGTCTTGTCCAATGTCACGCCAACACTCACAAAGAAGCTTGTCCTTGACAGTTGTGTATGCCTTCGTGTGCTTGCTCTTGCGCTTCGGCTTAGGACCGGCGGCTTGGTTGACGATCTCATCCTCGAACAAAGGCTCCACTTCGATGTCGCACTCGTCCTCTTTCTCTAGCCCATAGTCGTCTGGGAACTCATGGTCGAGGGGGAAGCCGTCCAGGTTGATGCCAACCTGATCACGCATGAAGGCCACCTGATCGGGATCGTAGCCAGCGGTCGGCGTGAACGCCCCGCGGCCGTCCTGGCTTTGTGTCTCGTCGGGGATCGCAACCAGCACCCGGCGCACCACCCTCGAAGATGAGGTTCTGCATGTAGTCCTCGTCTATGGCAGACGACATTCCCTCGAACAGGTTATGGGCGTCGGGGAGCCCGTCGGCCGACGTCTGCCGCGCGTGTTTCCTCGTGTCGTCGGATGACGAGCCACAGACAACCGGGGTGGCGTTGAGGTCGATTGGCACGGGCGCGGGCGTGAAAAGCGCGACCACGCTCATGTCGGGCGAGCACTCCTGGTACATCCATCTTGCATCATGCTTTTATATCGATATTTATTGCATTATGGGCTGTTATTACACATTATGTCACAATATTTATGCCTATTCTCTCTTATTTTACAAGGTTCACATGAAGAAGGAGAATGCCAGCAGTTGGGATTCTGGGCTGGAAAAGGAGCAAATATTAGAGACCTATTCTGCACATCTCCAAAAATCCTAAAACTTCACGGGAGCACGTTTCATAATATATAAAAAATATTGAGCGCAAGAAGTACCAGAGGGGGGCCACCCACCAGCCACGAGGGTGGGGGCGCGCCCCCTGCCTCATGGCCCCCCTGGTGGCCCTCCGATGCCCATCTTCTGCTATATGAGGTCTTTCGTCCGAGAAAAAAAATCATAAGCAAGATTACGGGACGAAACTACGCCGCCACAAAGCGGAACCAATCTAGGGCTCCGACGGAGCTGTTCTGCCGGGGAAACTTCCCTCCGGGAGGGGGAAATCATCACCAACGATCCTCTCATCGGGAGGGGGTCAATCTCCATCAACATCTTCACCAACACCATCTCATCTCAAACCCTAGTTCATCTCTTGCATCCAATCCTTGTATCTGAACCTCAGATTGGTACCTGTGGGTTGCTCGTAGTGTTGATTACTCCTTATAATTGATGCTAGTTGGTTTACTTGGTGGAAGATTATATGTTCAGATCCATTATGCATATTAATACCCCTCTGATTATGAGCATGAATATGCTTTGTGAGTAGTTACGTTTGTTCCCGAGGACATGGGAGAAGTCTTGCTATTAGTAGTCATGTAAATTTGTTATTCGTTCGATATTTTGATGAGATTTATGTTGTTATCCCTCTAGTGGTGTCATGTGAACGTCGACTACATGACACTTTACCATTTTTTGGGCCTAGAGGGAGGCATTGGGAAGTAATAAGTAGATGATGGGTTGCTAGAGTGACAGAAGCTTAAACCCTAGTTTATGCGTTGCTTCGTAAGGGGCTGATTTGGATCCATATGTTTCATGCTATGGTTAGGTTTACCTTAATACTTCTGTTGTAGTTGCAAATGCTTGCAATGGAGGTTAATCATAAGTGGGATGCTTGTCCAAGTAAGGACAGTACCCAAGCACCGGTCCACCCACATATCAAATTATCAAAGTATTGAATGCGAATCATATGAACGTGATGAAAACTAGCTTGACGATAATTCCCATGTGTCCTCGGGAGCGCTTTCCTTCATATAAGAGTTTGTCCAGGCTTGTCCTTTGCTACAAAAAAGGATTGGGCCATCTTGGTGCACCTTATTTACTTTTATTACTTGTTACTCGTTACAAATTACCTTATCACAAAACTATTTTTTACCGATAATTTTAGTGCTTGCAGAGAATAACTTGCTGAAAACCGCTTATCATTTCCTTCTGCTCCTCGTTGGGTTCGACACTCTTACTTATCGAAAAGGCTACGATAGATCTCCTACACTTGTGGGTCATCAACTCCCCGGAGAGGCGGGAGGCCTGCCGGTAGACGTGGAAGCCGGAGATCGGGTTGCAAGCCAACGCGCGGGGTGAGTCGGGCATCACCATCCGAGGAAACACCGACGAGCCGATGCTGGCTGCGGTGACAGCTGCTTGGACAAGGCTGTGCTGGCTAGGGTTTACCCCTAGCATGTAGAGCGCCTCCCTCGGTGCCGCCGTGACGCGGGCGTTGGTGAACTCAAGCTGCGCGGCGGCGACGACGTCGGCCTGCGCGGCGGCCTCATCCCTCGCGTCTGCGGCGTGCCTCCGGCCCTTCCTCTTAGCCGACTTTCTTGCCCGCTATCCGGGTGTTAGTGCCTTCTTCGGCTTGGTCGCTGCGGCGGTCTTGCGCGGGGCACGATGCTTGCCTTTCTCGGAGGGGGCGGCGGCGCCGGACGAGGCGACAGAGGCGAGCGTCAAGGTCGATGACGTTGTTCATGGCTGGTTGGGGGCGGGAGCGCGCGCGGGCGGGAGTGTTTTTGAGGGAAAATGGGAGAAATGATGATGGCTCCCACCAACAGAAGGGCCCGGAGAAAGGAGTAGGCGCGCGCGTCCGTTTCCTGTCCGCGCCGACGCAAATCCGGCTTAAAATTGAGCCTGAAATAGGTCGTCCGCGGATGAAAAACAGACGTGCATTCGTTTGGGTCGGCGCGTTGGACACATCTCCGATAGCGAACGCAAGGTGATCAAGAAGCGGGACGTGGCCATCTACTGGGACTTTGAGAGCGGGGTAATGCATAACATCTGTGATATGTGGCCTCTCCATTTGCTGGATATACCGGATACGGCGCCGGCTCCAATTTGGTTAATACCCTCTCCTTTGTAACGGACCAGTGACCGTGAGTGCACGTACCCCGTATCAACCAATGCTGTAGCCGTCCATTCGTCAAGGATATGACTAACAACCACGGCGCATATTGCCCTTTTCCAAAAGATTGATCAGAATTTCTATAACAGATCTTACATTTTTAATAAGTTGATCCTCACTACTTCCTTCGTTCCTAAATATAGGTCTGTTTAGAGATTTTTTATATGAATTATATACGGAGCAAAATGAATGAATTTACAATCTAAAGTATGTTTATATACATTCCGTATATAGTCTATATTGAAATGTACAAAAAGACTTATATTTAGAAACGGAGGAAGTACTACCTATTCTTTTAACATGCACACTGTTCACATCATCAAGTTTGCCACGTCATCATTCCACTACTCACTTACAGAAAGAATCGACCAGACGTTTGAATTACTGAGACTTGCCACAACTAAATACGGGGGAAAATTCAAAATAAACCTTGAACTTGTAGGCGGAAACTAAATCAAACCCCGAACTCCCAATTCTTGAAATCAGCACACCAAACTCTTTGAGCCCGGTCTATTTTGAACCTTGAGAGGATGTACCCGGTATTTTCTTAATTGGGCCGGCCCATTAGCGCACCCGCTCTCTGCTTTCGTTTCTATTTGTTTTTTCCTTTTCTTTTTTCTTTTTCACATATGTATAATTTTTCTCAGTACCCAACGTACATTTTTAATGCACACAAGAAATATTTTTTTGCTAAACTTTTGATATTTCAAATACATTATGTATACTTTTAAAAATACATGTTTTCAAAACTTTTTTGTAATACATGTTAATATTTTTCCCAAATACACGTTTTACATTTTCTTAATAACAATAAACATTTTATAAAACTACATGAACATTCTTATTTGTTTTTTAGGATCCCATGAACATTCTTATACATTGTACAACATTTCGATTTTTTTATACATTGTACAACATTTTGAAAATTGTATACACCTTTTTCAAACACATGTCACGTAGGGTATACACTTTTTAAAATTGTGTACACTTTTTTTATAATGTCACAAACACATTTTTGAAACTCGTGAACATTCTTGAAATTTTACATTTTTCTGAATGTATGATTTTTTATGCATCAGATGAATATTATTTTACATTGTATAAACATTTGTCTGAAATGGCCCGTACATTTTTTTTAAACTCATGATATTTTTTAGATGTCACAATTTTTATTGCACATTTTTTAGATTTCAATTTTTTTCCTATTTTTAAAAAATATCAAAAAAGTATTAACACTTTAAATGTTGTTCAGGTTTCAGAAAATATTTATGTTTCAAAAAGTGTTCTCACTTTTCAATTGTGTTCAGGTTTCAGAAAATGTTTATGTTTCAAAAAGTGTTCCCACTTTTCAATTTTGTTCAGGTTTCAGAAAATGTTTATGTTTCAAAAAGTCTTCGCACTTTAAAATTTTGTTCAGGTTTCAAAAAATGTTTATGTTTTAAGAAGTGTTTAATTTTTCAAAATTGATTGTTTTTTAAAAGTATTCAGAATTTTCTAAAAGTGCTCGCACTTTAAATGTTAGGAAATTTCAGAAAGTACGTTTCTAATACTTGTTTGTCCCCAAAAGTTGTTTTCAAAGTTCGACGCTTCGGTTCTGCAGAAGTACTTCGGGGTCTCTTCTTGTGTTACGTATTCGTCTGTTGTAGTGGCTAGCGGAAAGAGGACAACTCTCCCAGGTTCCAAGTTTGACTCCACGGTAGTCATATTTGTTTCGAGTCCGCAGCCAACAATCTCATATTTGACCTGCCACGTGGGCAATACCTATTTGAGAAAGCTCTTAAGGTTAGACCGGGATCAGAAAATTTGGTGTGTTGATTTCAACAATTTGTAGCTTGAGGTTCGATAGCACCACCTATGGATTGAAGTCTCCATTAATGTAGATGTATGATAGCATCACCTATCGGAATCACGAGAAAAATCATCGTGTCTTCATTGCGCCTGATTACCTCCAAAACCTTCCTCTACTTTCATATGTAAAGTCTTTACTTTCCGCTGCTACTATCTTGGACTTGCATGTGTAGGATGCTACTACACTTGATAGAATTTCTAAAATATGACAAGAACTAAAATTGGGGAAAGGCTAGGTTTTTTTATTTATCAAGTAGTCTAATCACCCCTACTCTAGACCTACTTTTGATCCTACAGCTTGCCCGAGATCCTACCTGATGTGGCATCGGGAGTTTCGTCGGTCAAACTTAGCGCCTAAATCGACACGGTAATGCTTGGCTCTAGGATCGAAGCTACATCCCGAGGTGTGATCCGCGCCGTGGTCCTGATCCGGGATTGAAATTGTGATCAGCACGAGGGCGTCGACAAGGTCTTCAAAGTAATCTGACACCCAGCCTGAATATGCAAGCTCGCCGCAGGCATCCACAACGTACTCCACATTCCTAAACCTAATGGTTTGGCCCTGAGCGAACTTCTCGATCCGGTCAAGGTGACCAGTCGCATCGGCGTAGATCCTGCCGCTGCCGAACACAAAAGTTGTCCGGGGAAGAAGGTCTTCCCATAGCCAATATTGTCGTCCATCTGAAGATGGGCCATTGAGCCGTTTTGACCACACAACATGATCTGTATGGGCCACCAATGTCAGAGTCAAATCCGACAGATCTCGGATAGGGGGTCCCGAGCTGGTGATCTTAACTTGATGGTAACATGGCAAAGAGGGACACGATGTTTTACCCAGGTTCGGGCCCTCTCAGAGAGGTAAAACCCTACGTCATGCTTCTATTATATTGATTTTGG